TTAGGTAATTTAATAATACCCAGGTAGAGATTTTCTTGACGAGTACAATCTCTATACTAGGAAAAAAGGTTTTTTTTGGATAATTAATTTTTTTTATATAAAAATATTATGTTAATAAAAAAATGGATGAAAGTATTATATAAAAATGAAGTAATAAACTTTAATAAACTTTAATTATAATAAAAAAGTGTAGTAGTAATTGTATAAGGCGTAAACTATAATATAAACTAATTATTTAACTATTTTTGACTACACTTAATAACTATTTTTTAAGAGTAAGCATATTTTTATTCAAGTTGAAACAGAATCGTGTGCACAATTCTAATGACTAATAGCATAGTAATTCGCTTTTAAAAATTTATATAAAAAATTTATAACAATAACAGATCATGTTCAGTAATGAATCGTATATATATTTTTATTTACATATTTTAAAATACTTTATAAATAATTTTATTATATATATATGCAAAACTTATTTTGTTTTAATTAATGAATTTGGAAGTTTATGAAAAAAGGCGTTCGCATGTTAGTGATTTAAATTTACCGAAAATCAAGTAAATATATCCATATTTATATAAATAATTAAATTAGTAAGAGTGATGAGGTGAACGTGTTTTCAGTTCACACGTAGGGCATTTCAATATGCTATAAAAATTGTTTTAAATACATATTTTAATACTAATTGAATATTAATATTATTAGTTTGGATTGTGATTTTATTAGCCACGAATATGAGTATAACAATAAAGGCATAGTTTTTAAATTGGTAACTTTTTAATAATATATTGAAGAAAAAAAAAAAATAAATAAGTGAATTTTTTTGAGAAGTTTGCTTTAAAAGTTAAATATTTGTTTTATCTTTTTTATTCTTACAAAAATATGCCGTGTTATGGAAATACTATCATTAAGATTAGTCAAGTTCGACAATCTATAAGAGACAATATCAGTTCTATTATCATATGGGCTATTGGCATCTATCCTGTCGAACAAGAAGATAATGATATCGAATTAGTTATGTTTATACCTATAGATTCAGATGAAAGAGATCCTGATAGTCAGGCAGTATTCAAAAAAAATGAATATTATATTATCGGTAAAAAGGTTATACCTGAATATTACCATGGGGCTAAAAGACTAAAGGTATTATTGTAAATTTTTTTTATAGAAAGATATGAAATAATCATATATAAGCGTTTAT